GGAACACTAGGAGTCCAATCTGTGTAGTGAGACCCTGTACTAAATATATTTAAAAAAAAAAAAAGTTTTCAAACATTGCTAAGTGTCCCCTGAGGGATGAAATTGTTCAAGTTGAAAATCACTCATCTAAAGTATATCCTTTTTCTAGTTATTCTTAACAGACTTTATTTTTTAGAGCAATTTTAAACTTACAGAAAAATGAAGCAGGAAGCGCAGAGTCCCTCTGCAGCCCTCTCCTTCCCCACGGTTTACCCGATCATCAGCATCTTGCACTAGTGTGCTACATTTCTTACAAAGGCTTGTAGACAAACTAGGGTATACTGTGTGTGCTGTGCTGTTCTAGGTTCTGTGCACTCTGACAAATCCTTAGGGCCACCTAGTATCATAAAATAATTTCACCACCTTAAAAAAATCCCCTGTGCTCCATCTGCTAAAGTAGAATGGTCCCTTGGCATTCAGGGAAAACTGGCTCTAGGCCCCGGCCCCCATGCCATGGTCTGCAGATGCTTGGGTCCCTTGTGTAAGATGGTGCAGTATTTTACTATAACTTACGCATACACACACATACCCCCATGTACTTTGAGTCATCTCTAGATGGTTTATGCCTAATATGATATGAATGCTATGGAAATAGATGTTACTGCATTAATCTGGGAATAATGATGAAGAAAAGTCAGAATGTGTTCAATACAAACTTAAATTTATTTCAATGTTTTCAGCCTATAGTTGGTTGAATTCACAGATATAAAATCCATAGGTCAATAGGGCTCACGAAATTTCTCTTTTAGGTAGTTAAAAGCATCTCTAAATCACTTTTCTGATAATACATATTTTAGTAGTGATTGATGATTAGTGTAATCAGTTAGTGATTGATTAGTACAAAAAAAGTTCTCAGCAAATAAATATTTATTTAGGATGCTGACTCATAACTAACCTCTGGTAATTCATTGATTTATTCGGCCAGGATTTCTAGATAAATAATGCCATATCATTTCTTATAAACTAAAGGATAAGTTCTAATTGTATAAAAATTATTCATGAAAATATTGGGGAGTGTGACATGTTAAAGACCAAAGTTTATCTTTTAACTGCTTTGAACACAACAATACGCAGTATAACAGCCATTGAATTCCTATCATTGTGGGGGTTTTTTGAGATTCTGTATCATTTCAAATTTTTTATTATTTTTTATTCTCTTTAAAATAAAATTTTTAAAAAACCACAAAGTTTATCTTTCAAAAACTCCAACACAAGCCAAGTATGGAGGCTCACACCTGTAATCCTGGCACTTGAGAGGCTGAAGCAGGAGAATGACCATGACAGGCCAACCTGGACTACATAATGAGCTCAAGGCCAGCCTGAATTGCCCAATGAGACCCTGTCTCCAGCCTCCCCAATGATAGTCCCCTCTAATACAGGCAGTGTTTCTCCCCACTTGAAGCCTATAGCATTTCTCTAGTTTCACCCTCATTCAGAAGTTGCTTGCCTTTAGCCAACTTGCATTAAGTGCTTTCATGCTAGAAAAAGCTTGTGACTTGACAGGCACAGGGCAGAGTCCATCTTAAAGGACAGGCACTCCAAGTCTGCCATTTTGTCTTCATTCTCAACTGTGTGCTTCTCTTTCTTTCTTTCTTTCTTTCTTTCTTTCTTTCTTTCTTTCTTTCTTTCTTTTCTTTTTTGGTGTGTGATATGGGGGATTGAACTCAGGACCTTGCGCTTGGCAAGCAGGCACTTATTCTACTGAGCTATCTGCCCATTCCCTCAACTGTGCACTTTTTGAGTAGCGTTCAGTAAAATTTCCCCTACGCTTTTGTCCCCTTTCTTCTTTTTCGTCTGACTACTTCTGTGTAAGTTAGAAGCAACTGCATCGTACAACACTCAGTTCTCCATGGTAGACACACAACAGATACTTACACATACTTGTTAAATGAATAAGTGAAATTATGATACATAGCAATATCAATCTATTGAGATCTCGATTGCCACAAAAGTTACTATAACACAAAGCTGTAAATGAATACTGGGTGATTCCTGGTATACATTCTCCTGAGTCCAAAACTATAGCAGTAGATATGTGGTTGGTGATAATGAAAAACCAGTGTTGTCCTTAGTTTATCAATTTAGAAAATAAAGGTATATTTGCTCTTCATAGAAACAAAACCCATGAGCCAACTTCTGTTAAAAGTCAGTGAGCACAGCAGGGAATACAGCTGGGGGTAGACCACTTACAAGCATGCCTGAGGCCCTGGGTTCCATCCCCAGCCTTGCAAAAAGAAAAACAGGCTGTTAAGGACAGAGTGTCAGAGAAATTATCTAAAAAAATAAATATTAATTCTAGGAGTTGACAGTTGACCTTTCATATGAATAAATTGGATTGTGGTATATTATGATTTTCCGGAAACCCAAACCAGTTCCCCAAGATTGTCAGCGTGATTAAGACTAACCGCTCAAATTTCAAATGAATAGAGAGATTTATTCTTATGCAAGAGCAGGAGCCAAGTGACTTTTTATTTCCTGTAGTGATTTAGAAAGCTAAATCTTTCACCTGTAGGAAGGGCCACAGCCCTGGTTTTAAAATGTAATGTTGACAAGTGCAAACCACAGTGTCCCCAAGCAAGGTGCCATACTCTCCCATCATACCTAGTCTTAAGAAAAGATGGTAAATTATGTGCAGCCTGGTCCGTGGGCTCACTGCGTTGCCCTGTGGCATGGTGAGGAAACGTGGGGCCAGAACCAGAACACAAAGCACTTCCACAAGCTGATGAGGGAGCAGTTTCTCAGGCAGCAGAGTAGAATGTGGCCACCCCAGGGTGACCCAGGTGTAGCACTTGATCTGACTGTGTTATAAGTGCTTATGTTTAGTCCTCCATTGGGGGAGGGTCCATTTACTTCAGTGTCATGATCCCCTGTGGGCAAACCAAGGAAAACTAATATAAAACTGCATGCATGATGGATTCTGAAGCCTCATTTTTCTTTGTCTTTATTTGGCCCTTGGGTTCAGGTAGAAGTGGGGCTGAGCCTTCCCAAGAGACCAGAGTGTTCTCGTCCACAATTTAGCACACTATCTTAGAGTCTGCCTGGCAATCAGATAGTGCAGTAGTTAAAAACATGGTCTGTGGAAGCCTGGGGTGTAGCTCAGTGGTAGAGTACCTGCCCAGAGTGTAAGAGGCCCTGACTTTCATCCCTAGGACACCACACACACACGCGCGCACACACACACACACACACACACACACACTCAAATAGAACTTGAGGCCAACCAGGCTGCTTCCTTCTGGCTCCCCGCCAGAGTAGCACTGTAACATGGAGATTTAGTCTCTCTAAACCTCACACTATCACCAGAAAAGCATGGGTAATAATACTCTGCATGGGAAGGCTACTGGTGAGCCTTCCATGAGGAAAATGATGTTTTAAACATGGTGCCTGGTGCTTGTAACCTTTCCACAAAGGGTGGTAGCCATGGGAAGAGGTGTAGTAGGAAGAGGAAGATTCAATGTCATGCCATGTGGTGACACCAGCGCAACCCAGACTGCAAGTAACTTCTTCCTGGCTTTCTCCAGGGCCTCTCAGATCTCACACAGTCATGTTTGTTTCCTCACAGACTGTCTCCTCCAATGCTAGAAACCAGTCAGAATCTTTCCTCTCGTACAGTGCAGGACCACCTGTAACTGACTCATATTACTTGTGCTTTCTAAATTTCATAAAGACCACAGCTTTCTCTTAGCAACTGCTGTCTTGCCATTTTATAATGAGAGACTAGCAGAACATTACACAAGATGCATATTTAGTTTAGTTGATGCATGTTGAGGTATATCTTAGATTTCATCAGACATACATTTTCTTTTTTTATTTAAAATATTTATTTTTTTGCCATAGTTTTATTGATAAACAAATAGCAATGAGACAGTTTCAAATCAAATTGGTAGGACAGTTTCAATAATAAACACACTGCATACTCTCTTCCTAGTGGTTAATTGCTGTACAAGATGTGGACTTGATATCCTATTTACAAACACCATTAAAACAAATCATTCTATTCATTAACGGAATGTAACTATATATCTATCCCAACCCCTTTTTTTTTTTTTTTTTTTTTTTTTTTTTTAAATATTTATTTATTTTTATTTATTACATTTATTTATTGTGTGTGTGTGTGGCCAGCTCAGCCCACCAGGGGGCGGGGCTGGCTGGCATGTGGTGCTGGGGATTGAACCGCGGTCCCTGTGCTTTGCCAAGCTTGTTTCAAGTAGGTGCTTTAGACCACTGAGCCATCTCTCCAGCCCCTATCCCAACCACTTTGGATACACAGATACAAAATGGACATTCATCTGTATACCCTTTTTTTTTGGTTAAGTTCCATTATTTGAATATTATAGGTGTGTAAACTCAGCAAAATATAGACATACATTTTCTAGTCCTCTTCTATTTTCAGGGATTTCCACAGAGATGAAATTTCCACAGAGACCTGACTTGGCTCATTGTATTTCTGAGGCTGGTGAAAAAACAATGGAAGAGTAGTAGAAAGTTCTGCTACTATTACAGTGATACCAAAGCCATTTTGTTGCAATAACATCTATGATGCAAAATGGGCAATGCTATGTGAATGGTTGTATGATAAACTAGATTCCAACATGATGACTGTTATGTAGCCACTAAAAATACATAATAAGGTGCTGCATGAACACAGAGAAGTAGTCTATGGTGATGGGTAAAGAATGCTATATAAAAATGTAATATGAAAAATACACGATTCTAATCATGTAATAAAATAGATACATTCATATAGAAAGTATCATAACTTCAAGGTTCCATTGTATGTCTTGGTTGTCAAATCTGAGGGCTGTTTCTCCTCAGAGCACACTGCCTTGTGAGTGTTGACATTTTGAGAGAGTCAAACACCCACTAAGCAGTGACTTTTCCTGTCTCGGTCTTTTGGTAAGCAGCTTGGGGAACTTTCTAGGTACAGGCGCCTGACGTCTCCACGTTATGTTTATTTTCAGTGATGAAAATGCTAGGAAAGATTTAAAGACACTGCCAGCCTTCCCAACCAAAACTCTCCAGGAGCACCCTTCCCTGGCATACTGGTAAGTCAGGACCCGGCCTGGGCACTGTCAGGACCATGGAGAGTCCTGTGCCGAGCTGCGCCTTGCAGGGTGGTGGAAGGGTGGCTGGCCTTGCGCTTCTCCCTGAGGTGAATGAGCTACCCGTCGGGGCGTCGCTCACGGAAGTGTGCTCCGGACCTGTATGCTTCCTGTTTGGCTTGGCCTTCATCTAGCAGAACATGGTGTGGAACAAAATACAAATCTTCTTGGCCAGAGTATCTTATAAGGACTGGAAGTGTTTTCTGTGGCCAGACCCCACTGTACATTTCGGGTGGTTTTAGTTGCTCATGTTTTAACAAGTCTATCCTCATTTAGCACCCCACCTTTGTTCTGGAAATCACTTTTCTTTCCTTTCAGATGACTCACATTCCTTGTAAATATTGGTTCCCAGGCTTTACTTTCCACATCTTGATGATGATTTCTCAAAATAAGGCTGAAAATAGAGCTTGGTGGTAGAGCGTTTGCCTAGCTTTGAATGAGGCCCTGAGTTTGATACCTAGAACTACACACCAAAAAAAAAACTATAATATAAAAATTATACAATATCAGAATTTGAAAGCTTTACTATGAAAGTTGGGGCCAGGGATATGGCTCAGCAGCACAGTGCCTGCCTGGCAAAGTGCAAAGTCCTGAGTTTGATTCCCAGTACTAAACAAGAACATTAGAATAAGTTTCCCAAATACATAGTGAAGTTGAGGGCAGGGGCCAAATTGCACCGTAACTTTTGAACCTTCTAAACAAGTTACTGAGTGTGTGTGTGTGTGTGTGTGTGTGTGTGTGTGTTTTGTCTCTATTTTTGTTTTGCCAGTTTGAAGCAGGGATGTGTGATTGGACCCAGGGCCTCCACACTGAGCTGTATTGTCACCCTCATTTTATTTTTTTGTTTTAAGTCAGGATCTCACTGTGTCAGCACATTGTCCAGAGTGAGGGCTAGAACTCGCAGGCCTCCTGCCTCAGCCTCCCACAGTTCTAGGATTACAGGCGTGTGCCATCACACCTGACTAAGCCATTGTTTAACAGTAGTTTCTTTCAAAAAAAAAAAAAAGCTTATTATGGAATGTACAAAAGTAAACATTTTTAGTCTTATAGGTTACTCATTAGATATGACAGGAAAAGCTTCCTCTCTAAAAGTGGGGTGAGGCAACTGTTTGACATCAGGGTAACCATGACCTCTCCTTACTGCCCCTCAGGCAGGAAAAAAGCCCTGACTATAGTGACAATAAGAATAGGTCGGATTGCACACTGACTCAAAGCAGTTTATTTTTAAATCTGTCTGAATAATTCAAGGAAAAAGTCTGTAACCCTCGTACTTGCTGACCCACTCCCTTTTCTAACCAAAGAGAAGAGACCTGGTCTTAGGCTCAATGATCTCCAGCTACGATTTAATATTATTGCTTTGTAGTTATTATAGTCCACCCAAGATGCTAGTTTTTCCATTTGAGAAACTGATCTTGTTTCCTTTTTGAGTGAATGGCATTTTAAAACACAAGTACAAGTCATATAAACATATTTAAAGATCATATGAGGGCCAGTGAGATAGCTCAGTGGTCTAAATTGCCTACTTAGGCAAGCTTAGGCAACCTCAGGGACTATGGTTGGATCCCTGGCACCACATGCCATGCCAGTCCGCCCCCAGGGCAGGTTGAGCTGGCAAAAAAAAAAAAAAATGATCATACAAGAAGCACTCAAACTGGAGCTGGGTAGCTTGCTTCCAGAGTGACTGGCTAGCTCAACTGTACCACATTCTGGACTGCTCCTTTCTCCTCTGGAGTTGGATTCCAGATTCTTCTCATGTCCAACAAAGGATTGAAGGAATGCAAAAAGCAGTGGCCAAGTTTATTTCAGAAAGTAGAAGTTGAAGAGTTGGGGGAGAAACTGGCACTGCAGAGCAAGCTTGGGCCAAGTAAGGAGAGAAAGGGCGAAGGGCAGAAATAAACGCAGCATGGGCTATCTACTGTGGAAAGCTCTTCATGCATTGGTGTGTCCCTTGTACTGTCTAAATCTCAAAAAAGCCTGGAGAACTTCTCCATACAGCTCCTAAAGGGCAGCACTGGGGTATATATCTCCCACTGATGTCAGGTCTAAGCCAGCCTACAGAAAACCTGCACAAGTTCTTGCCCAAGTCCTTGCACAGGGCTTTGGGAGCTGTTCTCCATATATGTCCCAGATCTTATAATTAATAGACCATGCCTACTTTCCTATTCAGCTTTGCCACACCTTAATCTCCTATCTCAAAATGTCTGAAATTCAGAAATCAAGGTCTTGCAGAAACAAAAGTCAACCCCACTATGTCATCCAAACACGCTGGCAAGGGTCTTCCAAGTAGCTGCCCAAGAATCTGGAAGTGGAGTTTGAATCTCAAATAATTATGGCTTGTTGTGCTTTTGTTTCCTGTTCTGCAGTGAGGACAGAGTGATTGAGCATTATCTGAAACTCAAAGGCCTGACCCGAGGCCAGGCAGTGGTTCAGTAAGTATCTTTGCTGTCTTTCTGCTCAGATGCCATTGTAGGGGTTCCGCTGGAAGAAGGCATTTGAAATAACTTTCACTGTGTAGTTTTTGTGTACACAAGTCTCATCTAGTTTTAAAAAATCTCATTCCACAATTAAAAGTGCCTTAGGTTGTTCCGCGTGCTGGTTCTCCCTCAGAGATGCCTACCTTGCCAGGCAGCTTTTGGAACAGAAATGTAGGTCAGGTGAGGGCAGTGGGAAGAAGCAGAGAGAACTCACCACACATAGATGTGGTCTGCTTAGCCTCAGACTTGAGACCCACGGATGCCAGATCCTCCAGTATTTGCAAAGAGAAGCTGGAAATTCAGTTTTCACTTCTTCTTTGGGTGGAGCACATAGCATATTGGTGTTGATTATTCTGTTTCTTCTTGCTATGAAGAACAAACTAGAGTGGTTACATTTCTGTATTCCATGTTTGTAGGGTGATCACTGAGCTATTAAGAACTACTCACTGGTGGGCGAGACAGCTCAGTGGACTAAGTGCCTACTTAGGCAAGGACAGGGACAAAGGTTCAATCCCCAGCACCACATACCACACTGCCCCACGCACACACAGAGGGCCCACCCCTGGGTTGCACTGAGCCACCAAGTCTGGGAGTGATGGCACACACCTATAACCCCAATGCTGGGGAGGCTGAAAACAAGAGGATCACTATGAGTCTAAGCTTACCCAGCTTAGACTCATATACCAAATACATAAAAAGAAAGAAAAAAAAGAGCTATTTGTTTAGCTAGGTATGGTGCCACACTCCTATAATCTCAACACTTTGGGAAGCTGATGCAGGAGGATCATAATTTTGAGCCAGCCTCAGAAAATTAGTGACTTAGCAAGACTCTGTCTCAGAACAACAACAATTTTTAATTAAAAATGGTCTAGAATATGGCTCAGTGCAAATGGAAGTTCTCAGATCAATCATTAGTACACCAAGTGATGAACTGTTCACCTATGCATTAAGCCTCCAAAACTTTAAAAAAAAAAAAATCAATCTAAGTGCATTATTACTGGAGTAATTGGAGAATAACTTCTGTGGCCATAGAACTTAATAGAACAAAACTACTGAGCCTAGCACAGGGCAGATGAGAGCTGGGACAAAGGCCAGGTCCCCACCTCCTGGCCCCCAGGTATTCCCTAAGGCTCCCACTGCTGTGCCCAAATCTCATTTTTACCAGAGCACACCCACCATGGTCTTCAGGGCAGACCAGAGAATCTTTGACCCTTTGATTCATTACCTGTTTCCTGAGCTGGGCATCAAGAAAACAGAAGGAAAGGAGGGAGAGAAGAAAAAAGAAGAGAAAAAAGGTTGTCACTAAACTAAGGGTTTCAATGATGCTGAGGAGCATGTTCCAGCGTGTCCTTGCTTCTGCTCAGGGTCCTTCCCTTCTTTCCTTGATCACTGTAGCGTGGCTCCCGCCAGGGGGTGTTTAATGCAGCTGTTTGCACCCTGGTGTGAAGTCCAGGCCACTTACACAAAGCCCATTTGCTTTTTTAAAAGTAATAAGTTATTGATTACCATGTCCAGAGAAATTGCCCTTTGCAGTGTCATTTCAAAGTCCACTTGAATTGAACAGAAACCTCAGTGCCTTGAAAGCACGGAGGCATCTTACGCAGGCAGTCCACTCCCAAGCCTAAGCAGTGCACATGGGCTTTGTTGTTATTTGTGTTTAAAGACAAGTTCTCACTCCATAGCCCATCTGACCTCCTGTCTCAGCCTCCCAAGGCCTGGGATTACAGGGGCTTCTGGCCAACACACACCCCTTGAATTAAAAATAGCACGTGCTAGCATCATTTTGACTTAGTTTTTATTTTTGTAACATAGTTTTTAAATCAGGTTTACAACCACAAAGTTCACCTTTTACTTAGTGTTTGTTTTTTGTTTTTGAGATCAGGTTTCACCATGTAGTTCAAGCTGGTCTTGAACTCACTATGTACTCCAGACAAGCCTTGTACTCACAGTGATCCTCCTGCCTCGGCATATGCCACCACATCTGGTTTAATTTTTATTTTGAGACAGGGTCTCACTAAGTCTTTAAGTTGCCCCGCTAGGCTTGAACTTGTGCAGAAAATAACATTTCCTATAGCTTTTTTCAAATTGAGACTTGGTTAGAAAGTTCCTAACATCTGGATAAGGTATAAAGGACATTAATCCCCATAATGATTTGTTCCATTTGTGCTTGAATCAAAACCATTAGTCATAGTTTAAATGAGGAAAATAGAAACAACTTGTGGTCCCTTAAATCATTGCCGACAGAGACCTTGACTGGTTTAATGCACTTGTGACATGTATTCCTCTTCCTTAGGTATATGAAAATAGTAGAAGCTCTGCCAACTTACGGAGTGCATTACTATGCAGTAAAGGTAAATACTCTTTACAAAGCTTTCAATGACCATGCTACTTTGAGTTACTGAGGCACCTTCTGAAATCCTTACCAATGGACATGTGTTGGCAAACTGTCTGCAGAAGTGACTATAGCATTTCAAATACAACTGGCTTTCTTAAAATTTTATGGCCAGCACAAAGGAATGTGATCGATGGAGTAGAGTGTGCCTGGGGAGAGTCACATGGAGAGAAAAAACATTTTCTTTGGCTTTCACAGAGAGCACATTGGTCAAGCAATGGCCGTGACTCATCCTCATGGCTGACACTGACAAGGATCTACAAAGTGCTGTACAGGGCTACAGGATAAATCCTGAGGGGACTTGGCTGCCCTTATCAGATACAAAAGTTACATTTCTTTTTTAGGTCTTACTTTATCTTGGTCTTAAACATCCAGCAAAAAGTATAAAAGTGAGGTATATAAAGTAAATCCATATTAATACGATGAGCTGTAAAAGGCTCAAGTCAATAACTTCTGAGGATAACCCACTAATATTATAGACTGCTAGACAGTGTTAGATTGTTTAGCTGAATTCAAACACCTACAGTATTTAGATGCCAATAGAATATCCACCTCTGACAGGACAAAAAAAAAGAAAAAAAAGAGATACAAAGGAAAGATCACTTTGTATTTGTATAGACAAAATAGTTAGGATAAATATACAATTACTTTCATTTAATTCAATGAGAAGAATGGCATGTACTAATGACATGTAGTGTTTGGACAGGAAATCCTGTCTGCTTCTCATACTATGGATAACCACTAAGAAGATAACAATGTACAATGTATTGATTATCGAAACTAGCCTATTAATAAGCTTTGAAACTGTAAAAAAAAATTATGGTCAGATTATAGCTTACCCCTTTTATCAAATTATAAAACACCTAATTTTTGCAAAGTACTTGATATGTTCAGGCGTTTTACCCAGGCCTCTTTTAATCCTAATATATTGAGTTCATGCTCTCCTTCTGTGAGGGAGAGGGGCTGGCTTGGGATTGGACCCAGGGTCTCACACATGCTCTCTTGATGCCGCACCACTCAGCTCCGCCCCACAGCCCTAGACCTTTTTTTAATTCTTGTTGATTTTTTTTCCTGCCATTCACCCTCCAATGCCATCAGGCCTTCCTTTGATGGTGCCACGTGTGGGAATCATTGCCTTCACTACTGTTCCTTCAACAGCTTTAGGTGATGCTGGAAATTTTTGCGAGATTTTCGATCCCATTTTTCCATCACTCTTATTTTGTATTTGCATAGAATTTCCAGATGTTTAAGAGCAGAAAGAGGTTGACTAACAGATATTTTTGAAATGACAAGTGGTAGAACACAGTTTAAGGAGGGAGTTTTATTTGAATGAGAAATAATTTTTATTTATTTATAGTACTTAATTTAGTATTTATGAATTTTGCAGTCCTGGGCATTGAACCCAGGGCTCCACACATGTTAGGCAGGCACTTTACCACTAAGCTGCTTCCCAGATTGGGAATAATTATAAAATTTTATTACAAAAGATGTTAGGAAACTAGATAATAAACACTTGTGTAATGAGGACACACTGTCCTAAAATGGTTGCTAATTAAACTTATGTTTCTACAGATTTTGGTTTGCATATAGGTATATGATAAACCCCACATTTTTCTATCCCTAGGTCAAAACAACCTTTCTTTTGGCAAGAGCTAAAACAAATTTGTAAAAAAATAAATCCTTTCTCTGCTCATAAATGCCCCAGACTGATTATGCAAACATCCTGGTATTGAATTGTAGAGTTCCCCAAAAGGGTTTTTAAAATATTCTCACCTGCATTGTGCATTGTATTATAACATCAGGATCCTGAACCACAGCTTTCCATCTTTGTAATTCCTGGAAACCTCCCCAACCTCCTTTATAACTGGTTACAGGGAGTGAGACAACAGTCATTTAAACTGATAATGACTTCTCTCTCTCTCTCTCTCTCTCTCTCTCTCTCTCTCTCTCTCTCTCTGTTTGAGACAGGGTCACACTATGTGGTTCATGGTAAACGCGTTGTATAGCCCAGGCCCAGTTTGGATTAATTCTTGTTTGAATCATTTACATTTTATTTGTTCTCTTCAAATATTCAATCAAAACAATACTGCTTCATGCTGGGTGTGGTGGTACACACCAGTAATCTCAGCACTCAGGAGACTGAGGCAGGAGGACCACAAATTCATGGCCAGCCCAGACTATATAAGTGAAACACTATCTCAAAAACAACAAAAGAACCCACAATACTGCTTCATTCCTTTTGAGAGTATTGCCAGTTTTGGTCTCTTTTAACTTAATTACCTTATCACAAGAAACACTAAGAAAGCCTTTTTGGAACAAAGTTAAATGTAGCACTTTATTTTCCAAAACAGCTTTGTTTGTTGATACTTGGGTTTTCTTTGTTGTTGTTGTTTTGTTTTGTTTTCTGGAACCGGGGATTGAACTCAGGCCCTTGCACTTGCCAGGGAAGCGCTTATTCCACTGAGCCATCTCCCCGGCCCCTATGTTGATACTTGTTGAAGGGAAAAAACTGGTAACTATTATTTCATCTTTAGCAGACATAGCAGCTAAGTGCTTGTTCTCATTCTTTTCCATTTTCTAGGATAAACAAGGACTTCCTTGGTGGCTTGGCATCAGCTATAAAGGAATTGGCCAGTATGATTTGCAAGATAAGGTGAAGCCTCGGAAGGTGAGTGTGAATCATTTCAGGTGTTTAGGAGAAGCTTGGATTGTTCTAGAACTTGCAACATCCCTTTAAGGGCTATCTTGAGCAGACTTGGGCCAAGAACCCTACTTATCAAAGCCACTGGCTCAGAGAAGATGCAAGTTAAATGAAACTGGTTGTTTTGGTTGAAGATGCAGGCATTCTCTTCTATAATTCATGTGTGCCCCATTTACATAATCCATGTGTGCTGTGCTCTTCAGAAGTGGTAAGATGCAGCCACAAGGATACTGACTGCAGCGTAGTTCATGAGCACCTGCACTTAGGCTGGTATTGTAAGTGAGCACAAGGAAGATGCTGCATTTGTCTTATAAATTTTATGAATATATACCCATACACAGACATGTGCATCAGAAGGGTGGTACAGTGGGTGAATTCTGAAGACGTCAGCCAAAACCTTTGGTGCTGATTCTTTCTCACTGGTATAGTGACAAAAATCTTCTTTCTATAGCTGTTACTTTTTACTTTATTTATTTATTTATTTATTTATTTGTTTATTTGTTTATTTATTTATTTATTTTGGCAGAACTGGGGATTGAACTCAGGCCCTTGTGCTTGCCAGGGAAGTGCTTATTCTACTGAGCCATCTCCCCGGCCCCTATTTTTTACTTTAGTCTCACAGTTTTCTTCATTAAGCATGCTTTTTGTAAAGAAAAATAAGTGATATGCTATTTATTAAAGGGTCCTAGTCCATCAAATTGGAGTTTCCCAGAACTAAAAAAGTTGTCATTTTCCTCTCTAAATTTGATTATGAAACTGCTTTTCTTGACTCAACTGAAGTGCATGGCACAGCTTTGCCTGTGTTGGCATTGGCAAATCCCTGGGGACGACCTTCCAGCCGCCTCCAGTCTCCTTGGGGTTACAGTGAAATGAGGACTGACTCCTGCTGCCCTGGAGGGTGCTGCCACCCACCATGTGCTCTGCTGCTGTCCCCAGGGATTGCAGGAGTGCACCAGGGGTCTAATGACAGAGCACGACCAACCTGCATTATCACTACTCGACATCACAGCCCCAGACGGCTCCTGTCTCCTGTCGTACCTGCCTGTCTCTTGCTTCAGTCCTCGTAAAGCCACCCTGTAATCACAGTGAGGCCACTGAACCCAAGTGTCCTTCTAGTATCAATGCTCGCAGTCTTACTTGAGCTCTGAAAATAAAGCTCCCTTCTTATCCCCATTTCATTGTTATGCCATGACACACAGAAGAGGCCCAGAGCAAATCTTCCAATGCAGACTAGTTGGATATTTAGGCTTGTCAGAAATCATCATTGAAAACTGACTGTGTTGATATGCACCTGTAATCCCAGCTCCTGGGAGGCTGACACAGTAGGATCACAAGTTCAAAGCCAGCCTGGGCACCTTAGCGAGACCCTATCTGAAATTTTTTTTAAATATATTTTTTATTTTATCTATTTTTATTTTGTATTTAGTACACAGTCTGTAGCGTCTCACTACATAGTTCAGACTCATAGTGATCCTCCTGTTTTACAGTCTCCCAAGTGCTGGGATTACAGGCACATGCTACCACGCCCCGTCTCAATCACTGGGGCAGGCACTGCAGGCCTGGGGTTCGAACCCCCAGCCCCTGCATCTGCTCAAAATAAAACATTTTTAAAAGAGCTAGGGATATAGTTTAGTGAGAGACTGTTTGCCTAGCATGTTCAAGGTCCTAAATCTCCCCAGCATCACCATAAAGGAAACAAAAGAAAAGAGAAAGTGTCAATGTGAACAAGAAAGCATCCTTTAACAGTGAGGGGTAGCAGAGGACCCTGGGGACATGTAGTCCTACAAGTTTTTCTGTCTCTGTCTCTGTCTATCTGTCTGTCTGTCTGTCTGTCTGTCTGTCTGTCTGTCTCTCTCTCTCTCTCTCTCTCTCTCTCTCTCTCTGTTTTGTTTTGTTTTTTAGATGAGCTCTTGCTGTGTAGTTCAGGCTGATCTTGAACTCCCTGTATAGCTTGGGCTGGCCTCTAACCCATAGTATGCTATCTTAGCCTCCCAAGCATGGGATTATGGGTGTACATCACCATGCCCAGCAGCATTGTGTTTCTATAAACCCTGTCAGCAAGAGCAGTTTCAGAAAAAGATGCACAGTTTCCAAGAGGAATATGCTTGTGTTTGAAAATTTATTCTTAATACCAAATTTCTAATGAATGACATTGGAAATGAAAGTCACCCAAGTTTTCAAAACTTTTTCAAGTCATTTTCATTTATAATTGCATATTTTAATTTAACCACAAGTCATGTATATTCATCATTTTTTAAAAAAAGCAAGCAGTATAGAAATATGTATGTCAGCGCAAGAAGCTCTTCTGTAGCTTCCCCGTCCCTGGTGACCAAGACAAAGAGAGCGACACTGACCTTACTGCAATCTTACTGCATGAGCTCTTCCACATTTTGCTGTATTTCCCCAGCTCACTAGTAAACCAGTTTCACTTCACTCTTTCTGAAGCTACCTAGCATTGTTATGTGCACGTGCACAATTTAGTTAAGCAGTGCTTCATGCTGGACCTCACAGTGCCCACGGTAGGGAGCAAAAATTCGGATGATGCTGAGCATAATAAAGAATCCCAGCCAAGGCAAAGAACTATCTCTGTCACATGAATTATTGACTGTTATGTTTTCTTAAGGTGGCTTCCTCCTATGTTAATACTGCAGATGTCTTGTTAATTTAGTTTTCTCCTGAATGTTACACTAAGAATGTGTATTCAGGAATCTTGCATGTAAAATACAATTTATTAGGTGTGATCAACTTACCCGGTGAGTGTGTACATTTTTAAAAAATAGTACCATAAAGGATGCATTGCCATTGAACTTCCTCAAAATTCTGTCCCTTGCTTTGAACATACTTCTTCCACTATTCTTACCAATTTCTGACATAGCTCTGGAAGTCCTCTTCTTTACCAACTATGATCAAAAATCTGTGAACACTGCTGCTCTGTGCCAGCCAGTGGAAAGGCAGGCTCGTAAAAACATTCTTGTGGCCTCCTCCAGTTTATTAACCGGATCCAGCACCATGTGACTTCCAGCTCTTCCCCCAAAGTCAAAATGACAATACGAGGTAAACATTTTGAATCAATTCAGGATATCCAGGCAGCCAGGGCAGTCAAAGTAAAGACACTCACAAAAGAGGACTTCTGGAATTGCCTCAGGAAGTGACAAGAATGATGCAGTGTTGAAGGCGAGGGGGAGGATTCTGAGCAGGACTCGTGGCAGCGTGTCTGGCTATAGTGCATTTAAAAAATGTAATGGTCTGGGGCTGGTGAGATGGCTCAGTGGTCTAAAGCACCTACTTAGAACAAGCTTAACAAAGCACCGGGACCGCGGTTCAATCCCCCAGCACCACATGCCAGCCAGCCAGTCCCGCCCCCTGGTGGGCTGAGCTGGACACACACACAAACACAAATAAATAAATAAATAAATAAATTTTAAAAAAAAATGTAATGGTCACCATATTTCATCACACCCCACCTATCAACTCGTAAGTAGCTTCGCAGCTAACACAGCTTGGTAAACTGGAGATTCCAAGAGAATTAAAATTATCTAGAAAAGCAATTAGACTTTCTCCCCAAACACTGCTGAGTCACAATCTGCAGAACAAATATTGAACTTAATTTCCTCCTGTGCTCATGATTCCGAAGCTCTTCTTTGTATTCACAGCTTCATAGGAATTAGCAAATGTCATTTCACACCAGTCCTTACCAGATTGGCTTGCTCATTTCAGAGTCTAGACAAGGGTCAGAAGTCACTTCCTTTTTTCAACTGGCAGAGTCTTCCTGTTTCATTTTCAAGATGTGCCAGTCTCTTTAAGGGGGAGCCGTAAAGGTGCATCTGAGTTATTACTTTCTTGCCTTCTGTTTTGCCACTATGCTGTGAAGTATTTATTCATGCCATTGCCTGCTTCTTCCTTTCTTCTATCTTTCTGTCAAAGTTAATAGTGAATTTTGTTTCTATATACCTGTGTGTTTGTTTGCCTTATGAGACATGATCTTGCTGTGTAGTTTAGGCTGGCCTCAAACTCACAATCTTCCTGCCTCAGCCTCCTGAATACTGAGATTATAGGAATGTATCACTATGCCTGGATCTTACCATTTCCTGTGCCCAATAACTTTTCACAAATCCAGGGGCCTACCCATTTGTTTTCCATCAGTGTGGTGTGATATTTCAGGGCAAGAGCTTGAAAGGGATCCCACATCCTGCTCCTGGTGTCTCTGCTGTGTGACCTTGGGCATGTTTGGCCTCTCTTTAAAACTGGTGTTCTCATCTGGATAAAGGTACTGCTACTTGCTCCACAGGGTGTTTTTAGAACTAAATAAGATTATATTTAGCCCCGTCCCTTAAAACCAGTCACCATTAGGTAACCTAAAGTTGATTCTTGGTAGTAAGGAAGACAGAACATTCAGAAGAGGGTGTAAAAAATATTCCTGGATTACTGTTTGGTTAGAGAAGGCCCTTGCTTTGGTACAGATCCATAGTCCTAGTAAAGGAGGAAACCCCGTTCTCAGGGACTTTAAAGCTTTCTCCCAATTCATCAACCATTATGCCTGAAGGTGTGTTGCACATGAAGAGAAAATACTTAAATTCCAAGTTACAGACATCAAAAATTTGTGCTATTAAAAATTCAGAACATAAGCACTTTCACTTTGTAATCCTCCCTTCATGCATGAACCGTGTATTGCAAACTCTTACAGGAGGTGAAAGCATACCAGATCTCAACTTGATTCCATGTGGGAAGGCACTGGAACTTGAAAACGGATCGAGTTTTACTTAGGAAAAACAAAAAACACTGAACCACATGCTTCTTCTAGATGTTTGTTGTTCATTTAGTGTTAAAAGTAAATGTCTCTTTTTGACAAAGAAGTAAGCAGGAGATCAATGATGAAGTGAATTACTAGGCTGAGGCTATGACTGACTTCTGTCCCTCTGGCAGTATTTCCCCTGGGAGAACCAGAGCCTGTCAGGAGACTGGAGAAT